CTTTCCAACAGTTAAAATCTATTTTGAAAAGAAAAGCAAAACTAATTTTCTCAGATCTCAGACAGATTTCTCTTCTGCTTTATATATAGTGGATTCTAAAATAACCTATGACATTAAAAAGCAAGAGCATTGTTCAATTTTATTGAGTCTTTTTAAGCGCCACTTGTTGAAATAGGAACAATAATTAGTTGATTCGTTTGCTTGAAGCAATGATTTCCAAAATATTTTAATATAGGTGTTTTCTGAATGAGTGTCTTTGTGAATCGTCGATATGGTTCAGTCAAAATAATCAATGAAATCGATCCCAAGATTCCGTGAGAACAAAGAAGACCGAAGAAAAAATTATTTACAGCTAAATGGGCTACATTTTCTCGGCACAGATGTTATAATGAAAGCAGAAAATGACAGAAAATGATTCCAAAATGACCTACACTGATAGATTTTATCGGCTTGTATGAAAATAATAATAGCATAGTAGATCCAGGGAAAACCAAGAGATGCTGTTGGGATAATATGCTGAATTGGAGAGGTTTAAAGCTTAAAATTGAACCGAATCTCAACTATTTGCTCTTAACTGAACTGATTCGAAAAGCAGACAGAGATCGAAACCAGATTCAAAACAAATATTTGCACACAAATCGTGATGAATAGAAAACATTAAGTTGGGAACTTGAAGCTGATAACACTTTTCCTTAGAACTTTTAGAAAACTATAATTTGCGTGATTAGAAAAAACAATTAATTCTTTATAAAACGATCTTTAGAAGATTTGAATAAACTTTTGTCTTCGGTCTTCTTCAAAGACAGGAAGATGGAGAGTCAAAATGGCGGCAACTTAGACCAATTTATAGCCAACTTCAAATCACCAATTTAATCTTACAAGGGGCTTAGGGCAAATAGAGAATCAAAATACACTCTCTCATATAGCAGATAACTGAAACTTCATCAAGGAGTATCTGAGCTCTTGTTGACTGTTCATGACTAATTTATCACTCTGCTTGCTTACCTGTATGCACAAAACGACGAGAAGGTTTTTTTGCAGTTTTCTCGTTCTCTCGCTCATATGTGGGCAATGATTCGTGATTGTATAATTGCATCCACCAATACATATCCAAGTCTAAATTTTCGTTTTCTTAAATAAATCTTTTGTCTAACTTGTCCTATCGCATAAGTACCATAAATCAGTATGCCGGCACAGAATATATAAAGAGGTGAGAATGGGATGTATGGTGGGTAAAGTGCTGTAAAACGAGCCACATAAATATCCGAGATGTTTGAGAGAAAAGAAAACGATGGATGGTTCTAAAATATTTGCGAAGATGTATAGAATCTTTTACAGTGTTATGTTATAGTGTTATAAGAACGAAAAAAAATGTTTGTGTTACGAGACTACAAGATGTTTGACTGGAGGCAGATCTGAACCCCGGACTTTCAGCATTCGTTACGTGCGCGCTAACCATTCGGCCATTGCACGCGACGCCGACGAATTGACATTTCGAAATTATGTATAGTTGAGATGGTGTTATGCAGGGATGAGCCAAACTCAAATTTACCAAGCCAGGCTCGGGCAATTTCGATTCCCTGAATCCAGGGGCTGGCTAGAAAACCAGATTCTTTATTCATAATCTTTCAGAATGACATAAAACTTTTCAAATTTGCCGTCAAAAATAGCAAATTTATTTAGCTAATGATAATTTAACATCATTCAATAAACAAAGATCTAATTAAGACACAAAATTACCAACTTTGGCTCAAACCAAACCAGGTCCGGCTTCTTGGCTCAGTCTAAAAAACCTAGGTCAGCGAGAAGTCAGACCTGAACCTGGCTGATCTTGGCTGGTCTAGGTTGGCTTACAAATCCTAGGCCCGGGTTGGAACATTCCTGGTGGGTTAATAAACTCATCCCAACCTGTATAAGCTCTTGAAAGCTCTCAGTTGTTGTACCTTGTTCAATTGGAAGTAATTCAATGCTTCCAGCTAACCATAAAGGAAAGATAACAAATAATGGACTCATGTATAGCATTTTGCCCAATCGTTTAAATCTAAAAAAGTGAAAGTTTCAAATAGTTTTGACTGTTTACTTGAACGAACTGTCAGGTTCTAAAAGGCTCTGCAGCTTCAAGAAGAAGATATTTGTGAGAGCAGAAAGTGTGGAAACAACAAAGAAAGCGCCGATTGCCTGAAAAGGTTAATGTACCAGGTTTGTGTAGACATAAACATTGTTCCAGAAACATTAAAAGGTTTTTATATATCAGCTCTTTACCCTACCAGTGCCTGTTTTGCTCCAAACCCGAACACCGATTCCCAGACACCAAAAATTCGACCAGCAATTGCCGGGAAATTCAACTCAGGCTTGATTAATAACAATATGAGATCCAATGTCATTGCAAATAGCTGCATTCAGTTTGAATAAAATTTGATACAATCTTCAAACCTGTGAAACCATCAAAGGTATTTGATATTCTTTCATCTCAACCGGTGTCTTCTTGACAATACAATATAAAGTATAGAAATTTATTGGCATTGAAAGAAAAGATAGGATAAATTCATATAAAATATAATAAGTTGGTTCATTAAACATTTTTGTTGGGTAAAACTGAGTCCAAATTCTTTCAAAAATGCATATATTTTTATAATTTAATGGGAAATCTATTTTTTCACCTGTTTGCTTTGCAAGTCAATTTTGATTGTCACCTGTAATTTTTGAAAAGGAAAACTGAATCGATTAGTTCGATACTTACTTTAACCCAAAAGCTTGATAATTGTGCGAGACTGGACCTCACTATTTAGGTTTTTCTCTGTTCAAACGAAAACAAAACTATAGCAAAACGCAAGAGCTGAACTATTCATAGCTATTCATATTTATAGTCAGCCCAAACTAAGCCAAGCCATCAAACAAGGTTTCCAGGCCAATTGCAAGTTTAATAGGTCAAGCTCAACTTAAGGCTATTTGACTTTCAGTTGGACTGCAGCAGACCTAGTAATGGCATATAATGTTTCTCTAATTTTAACCCTAATATGAATTTAAGTTAGTAGCAAGTTTATTTGTATTCAGTTATTCGAATTAGTTAATAACATGTTAAAGTTAAGTTGAAGTTAATGACAAATGCACGCTGCAAAAGATCTCCGTTTGTGGTATGTGTAACGCATTGACATTTACTCACCACTTCACATCAGGGTAACAAACATCACGTCTCCACAGCTCTTGGTTGATCATTTAAAATGTCAATCGTTGATGTTAAATCTTAGAAATTTATTTATTTATTGGTTAGTCTAATGAAATTTATTGACAAACGATTGTTATTAACGCTTTGATCAAATAGCAAAGCCTTAATCTCTTTATTTCTATATTAGCAAAAATAAATGATGCTCCTTCGGGACTACTGAAAGCTTGAATGATAGTAACAACGAGCAAAGTTGTTTTTATCCGAAATCCTATTTATTTAAACCCAAATAAACCTATCTATATGAAAATCCAACCGTTCGAGGATTTGTTTGGGTGTTTTTCTTGGAGTTTTTGAGTTATTCGGGTCAATTTTTGAGCCATGTCTCGATGGTGGTCGCAGAATAAGTTTGGCTGCTAGGGACTTAGGTTAAATCTTTTCAGAGAATTGGAATCAATACAATAAAAACTATAACAATTGCATAACGAGCCAGAGACAGAAATAAGAGAGAAATTCCAGTTGAACCTCGTGACTACCGTCAAAAAGGATTCAGAAGCTGAGAATGAAAACCAAAAAACTAAAAAACTAAAGAGGTTCAGTTAAGAATAGTTCTAGGGACCTTAATAACTAAAGAGATTTTTTTGATTTGCTTTTGAATCACTAAAGAAATTTGTTTATATTCAAAGTAATCATTAGTAAGATTCTGCTTTCAAACTGGCCATACTTTTCCTCTTTTTCGTTGTCCTGTCCGATTGATGTGCTCGCCTTAACTATCACTCCTCCATCTGTTGGCGATACTTTATAAGCAACCATTTGTTTTCTTAATTTCTTCTGAAATTACAAAAGCTAGTTTTTAAATCACAAAAACCATATAAGATCAATAACAGTTTCTCGATTTGAATTCGGTATCATTGAATTGCTTTCGACATACTAAATTGAACCTTTCAACATACCAAACTTTGAACAAGTGAGCCAATTATGATATCAAAATACAAAAGTGGTAGTTTTTTCGCATCATCAATTAAAAACAAATTTTAGTTTTTGATAACAAAATGGAGATTGTTTCACGTGTTTTTCAAATGTTTTACATGATCCAAACAATTTCTTTTAAGATCTTATTTGTTTGGTAACAAAAAAGATATGAAATATGCAGTTTTCCGAACTCGGACTTTAAACAAGCTACTTTAAGAAGTAGGTAACCAAATTTGGTTGGGATTTTGAAGGAAAAAATTAATTACATTCGTAAGGAAATCAAAGTTTTTGTTTTCAGAAAATACAAAAGATATAATTATCAAAATTCACTGAAATTTTGAGAACAAAGCAAGGTGTTTAAAGCTAAAGAAATTTACATTACAAACAAAATCTAAATTTCTTTATTAATTGAAGCCATTTGTAAAATGATATTTTTAAATTTTCGCCATTGAGCTGTTACTTTTGAGGGATAAATTTGGATAGTATCAGGGACATTTGACTTTACTTTCTTTTTTTTTTGTTTTGATTATAGAGCTAAAAATAGAACGTGCTCCTGTTTGGGGAAGCCCCCATTCTTTCAGCTGTGATATCGTTGGCTCAAATTCGTGAGAACTTCTTTGGAAATTTGAAAATATGACTTCATTTCTATTTCCTTTTACGGGTGTTGGTAAATATTGAACTTTTTTTGATCGAAAGGAGCGAAATGTTGATTTACTGAGAATTGAGTTTTTTTGCACCGGGGAAATCCCTTCAAATTTCGAAAATCGAAATGACGAATTCGGCGATTTTCTCTCATTGTAGAGGTATAGAGGATTAATGCACGGTTGCTTTTTGTATACCAATAATGAGCTTTTTGCATTTAAATATGGGAAGGTATAAGTTTGTGTAATGTAGGGGGATGGATGCAATTAGATCTACATTATCCAACCTTCTAGACAAAGACCAGATATGGCTATGAAAAAAATGCCCTGCCGTACGAAAAGTGCCGATATGCGCCAACTTTTGCCATTGTCCCCTAGACGATCAAGTGAAAGCCTCCTCGCTTTGTCAAGTGGTGCTGCAACTCGTCAGCAAAGTGAAAATCGTCGTGGCCGTGGTGGTTTCAAGAAGTCGACTCCACACAACAAGCAACAATGACCGGGTGTCAGAATCCAAAATTCACTCAGAATCGTTCCACCACAGATTTGTTGTCGGCTAATCTTTTTTCATTCGATGAAACAGCTTTTGCTACTTACAAGTTCGCCACGATGACAGCAATGATCCTGTATCTGGGCGCAAAATAGAATGGAGGAAAAATAGACAGATTAGGTCTTCCATTAAATAGAATTTTTACGGTGCTCACCATTTGTACTTATCAAGAATTTCAGCAGCCATTCAAATTGCTACTATGGTCTGTTTTTTGTCCTTTAGCCGAAGCCGAAGTCAACGCAGTCACCCGAGGACGGTGACGATGAATCGGTGCCTCTTCAATGAACCCTGGCCATTGATGGCGTGAACCGCCGTACCCTCCCTCCCTCAAAAATTCATCTCCTCTGCTCTCTTTTCGTCATTTTTCTCAGCAAATATACTAAATCTCGCCATTTAGGCTTTCTCTGTTCAAACGAAAACAAAACTATAGCAAAACGCAAGAGCTGAACTATTCATAGCTATTCATATTTATATTTAGCCCAAACTAAGGCAAACATTCAAACAAGGTTTCCAGGCCAATAGTAAGCTTAACAGGTCAAGCTCAACTTAAGGCTATTTGACTTTCAGTTGGACTACAGTAGGCCTAATAAGGGCATATAATGTTTCTCTAATTTTAACGCAAAAATGAACCCACGAGTAGACTGCTCTTATATGTCTGAAATTAAATGTTTTCTTGAACAAAATGATTGATTGTATGGAAAAACTACAGATACGTGAAAATGGAGAAATTCGTGTTCTGTAAAAAAATAAATTTAAGATTTTTGTGTTGAAATTCTGACAAACACAATTCAAATTAAAGAATTGCTCCCAAACCCTTTTCTTTAATCATCCATGACTTCATAGACAAAATACAAGGAGAATAGAATCCGATTTTTCATTTCATTTCAAATTTATGCTTCTGTTAAATTGAACTCTGGTCTTCTTTCCCTTTGTAGGTGCGGGCTGAACGATTTAAATTTTTGTCTCCTGCATTCAGGTATGTGCTAACCAGTTTACTATTTATATAAATAAATGAAATTAGAGTTCAAAGACTTAAAAGCCACCGATTGTGAGCTGAATTTAACATCAATTACACACTTTTTCTATAAGCCACATGTTTAAATGTGGTTACTTTCAATTTTTAAATTGATCCAGGCCCATCAGGTCGTCAAAACAGTCATTCCTGTCCTTCGGGCCGTCTAAACAGTGATTCAGGCCGCTCGGGCCTTCAAAAACTTCGATTCTGCCCGTCAAAACAGTCATTTCTGCCCGTTGGGCCGTCAAAACTTTGGCTTTGGCACTTCGGCATCGTCGCTGTATTCGTTCTTCCCATTTCCCCTAATTCAAAGCAAAATAACCAATTGATCAGAATGGGTGTTATGGCCTTCAGTCTATTCATCACGATTCTCCTCCTTTTCCATCAAACTTCTTCGTCGATTCAACAAAGCGATCAATTCGATCAATTCACGTATTCTTTTCCCTTCAAATAGTTACCATCTCTAACCATTCAGCTCTCCGAATGATCGAGCTGAAATTCCGTCTCGTGATCGTCGTACTTTGAAGTAAGTCAGAAAGAGATTACGGAGGTTTGTGGTTTGAAGAAATAAATGGATTTCCATCTTGTTACTGGCTTGAGTTAAGTTTTTAGCGTAAAATGAGCTTATGCAGTGGTGTACTATAAAAATTAGCAATGCCTTTATTTTGCTAAATCACAAAATTTAATTTTAGGGATATTCATCTTGGTTTCGAAGGCGCCGAAGTGGCTGAATGTAGCGAGAATGGTCTTCCAATGAAGGTTAATATAAACTTTGTATAAACAATGAAGGTTTCTTTAGGTAAAACACATCTATTACTGGCCTGGCGATAATATTTCTTTCACGTGCAAAGTTTGTCAACCGTTAGTTTCGTCTGTATAGGATCTAAATAAATGTTCTGTTCGAATTTTAGAGATTTTCATTCAAATAGGAAGATCAAAATGTGGGGTTGGGCCGCATATATATACGACTTTTTCGATCATTACCAGAAGAATAAGGTATAATTCTTTTCGATTTTCTGCTATTGTTGCCACATTTAGAAGTTGCAACTCGCAGATGTTGGCGTGCAATTTTTACAACTCAACTCCGAGATCAATACAAGGCCAAACGAATTCTATGGATCAGAGAATTGTGGTCCGTCTTACATGCCCGGAAATCGGTGCGTTTCTTGTTTTTGTTAAAACATAAGGTATTTATTGCCTTGTTTGTTTAAAAAAAATTGTTTGTTTTAGAGATCAGGCCACAGGGAACGGATCTTTGCCCCATATCCGACGACAAACGTTCGAACAAATTGGCAATACGTTACACATTCATAATGTACGTTTATGTGTAGTTTAGCTGTAAGTTTAACTTGATTTTTAGGCTGAAGCAAGGGCGGCTGGTGTGTATTTTTGCTACGATGACGCTGCGTTGCATTTGGTATACTTTCACAGCGGCAGTTAAACTTTTACCCAGGTTTAGGTCCGTTATTTCTATATTCTTCACGCAATGACGCCGATCAATCGAGTCAATTGGATGGATGATGCCAATTTGAAGAATCGTGTTCCACTGAGTCCGGATATGGGTCAATTTTAACAATTCTTTCTAAACTTACACATTTTAGGCAAAATGGTCAGTGAATCGCCTGACAAAAAGGCTTCATTAGCGCCTTCATTTCAATGTGGCAATGCTTGCGGGAAACGGATTTATGTAAGTGATTAAGGATATTAAAGTAAATTTTATGGAATGAAGTGCCCGATTTTCCACTCGGCCACACTGAATATTACCGCACCCTATTAAAATCTAGATGTACCCGGATACTCAATGGAAATTCAACTGGCATCCCATCATCTATAAACGCGAAAATGAACCTATCTGTGATAGCGGTGATCTTGAGTGCGAACAATATTTGGTAATCCATTCCTTTTTAAGTGCATTCAAGGTAATTTGAGAAAGTACACCCCGACACCGACGACTTAGTGATACGAAAAGTGCCGGAGACGCCGATACATCTGTATGTTCTCAAACGATGGGCCATTGAGGCTAGTTTTTCAAATTTTGATGAAAATAGCTCATCAAATGCCTTAAATTTCACATGTTTGGAATTAATATTTGCGTTTTAGAAACGATTTTACACGGGTGTGGCGTTGGCTTTTCAATGGGAGCCATGGAGTAAATGCGATTTGGGGAAAACACATCAACGCCGAGAGGGTGGGGGTGTTTCGATGAATTTTAAAAGTTTAAAATCATTTAGGACACTGTGTTTTGCAGCTCGTCGATGGTAAAAAGGAAACAAACTCTTTACTAAATACTCATTTTGAAGCATCGAGGTACCTTTTACTGAGTTTTAAGCTGACTTACGAAAAGTGGTTTAGGTGGATGTCTCGATTGGATAGCATTTTCAGGCTTTCTGGAGGAAAGAATACGACATTTGTGAGATTGCACAGGTAAGAGTTGTTGGCGAAAATTCATACATAGAAGGAGTCAATTGCGTTTTAGTTCAACTTTGATGACGATGATCATGGGTCAACCAGTGAAGACCGATTATGGGCCGAGAGAATGTTGGGGGAGTGTTCGAAAGATTGACAATTTCTATGAAGAGGTTTGTTTTTACCTACTTGACTAGCCTGTTTGTAAGTTCCACTCAAGCCTTTGTCTCAATTTTTCTTTAGGTAATCTTTCCCTCGTTGGACATCCCCGGAGAACAATTCAACCGAAAGAAATTCACATTGAACAACGAGTGGAGGGCTTGTTTTAAGTGAGAACTCTGAGCTTATTCGAACTTTGATTTACGATATTTCTTTTGGAATTGAACTAGGAAAAAAAAATTGAAAAAATTAGGAAAAATTGAACTATGAAATTGAACTAGGAAAAATAGGAAATCAGGAGCTTTTAAAAAATGTCTTTTAGATACAAACACTCGGGAGAAAAGCAGGGAAATGGATCGTATTCGGATATTGTTGGCACCTATGTGATCGAAACAAAGATGTGCCCCTAAAATGTATTTATTACTGTATATCAATGTTTGTTTAAAGGAATTCATGAAATTCTGTCTTTTGTTTTCTTGGTTGGTCGTGGTCAATAAATGTCTCAAAACAGCCTGGAATACAACAAGAAGCTAACTTTGCAGTAGCCTGGATCTCGTTCACTCACTTTCTACTTTGCATATCATACTTGAAGATGGTCGAATCACAATGATATGCATGAAGAGTGGGCTTAACGAGTGAATGAAGCGGACAGTTCGAATAAGGCAACTCCATCAACGGTCGATCGTAGATATAACCGAGAACACAGCGCAAGATTACTTGATGCCCAACCACCAGTACATCCTTCTGAAAACTCACATTTGTGCTCTTTTTGAAATACTTGGCTTCCCAACTTCCTGATCACCGGCTCCAATCTGGAGACCACGTCTTCGTAACTTTTACCTGATGGATACCGATAGTGGTACTTGTCACGGGCTCTATCTTCGGACTGTCTTGGATATCTGAATGGAGTAGTTGGCTAGGCGCTATCATTCACCGCTTTTCACTTACCGTTCTGCTATATCTGCATAGGTGAGTCTCTTGCAAATCCCGGCATCAATCTCATCCAAAGCTTTCCAGCACTCAGCGTATGCCCCTGCTGAGGCAACCTCGCGAGCTATTTGCGCTGCTCGAATCTGTAAATTAAAAGTCACCTCCATTTTGGAATGTTGGCGCTGTCTTATCCAAAAAATCCCTCACCATATTGCACATCTCCGTATCGCAGCACATTATTGACCGATCTCTGCCCTGCTCATCCCATCCACCCTCATGTCGCACCTTCACTTTTGATTCTAAATGCAGAATTTCCAAAGTCCCACACGCAAAAAGCGCCTCGCTTGCACTGAGTCGTGCTCTTTCCAACGGAGTAGTCCTCATAGTAGCCCGCGCAAAAGCCTGCGCTTCACATTTCTCCGATTCATGATTTTCC